AATCTTGCCCAGTTCTCCTCACCTTACTACAGCTGTCCCATGTGTCCTTTATCCATACAGCCCCCATGATTCCCAGGACAGCCTTTTTGATGGCCACAGGAGGAGCCCCCCTCCCCATCTCCTTTTTTCATCAGCCCAAACCTGGTTAGATAAATTAGGACAGAGGACACTAAAAATTGAAACTGTTACAGTATTACCAAAAAGAGATAAAGAGCATGAGAAAGGGTGTAGGTAGAGGAACAGAGATTAGCTGACATGAAGAAAGTCAGGAATATGTATTGCCTGACGTAGCCAAGACTTATAGTTGGGGCTTGTGTCTTCCAAGTATCCTTCTGCTTCTGCACCAGAGGGAGCATTCCTATCTTCCCCTTCCCAAGAACCATTTGGTTTCTTAAAAATAGGATTGTTTTGTACATATAAGGCTCATGTTAGTTATACAAAACATGTGGGTTAGAATGGTTAATTATGAAAGCTGGGAAAGAGCTTTGTGGTCTGTCCTTATTAATTAAAGTAGATTGGGCTTCCCCAGTGTTGCTGTTTATAGTGGCATTGCTAGTAAAGCAGCACTATAGCTGTTAGCATTCATGAGTAGTGTGTTTTGAGACACAAAGGCTGTAGGCCTAAGAATTCTTTTCTGGGAGTCAGCTGCAGTGAATATAGTAGGGCGTACATTTTCGTATACCTGCATAGGATTGTTGCCAAAGTGCATTATTTCCCAGATATCATGTCGGAGCCTGAATGGAGATGAGTAATAAAGACAGAGATTGCTTCTCCTTTCTTGAGCCCTGATCTGGATAGCCCAGGCTCGCCAGATATCATCAGATCTCAGAAGCTAAGCAGGGTTGGCCCTAGTTAGAAAGTTCAATGGGAGATCACCAAGGAAGTCCAGGGTCATGACGCAGAGGCAGGCAATGGCAAACCATGTCTGAACATCTCTTGCCCTGAAAACCTCACCGATCGCCATAAGTCAGCTGTGATTCTTTTGATTCTTTTGCAGCAATGCCATATTTAAGCAGCATTCACGTGCACAAATATCCAAATATCATGTAGTAATTCTTGCTGTTTCACATTTCAGGAATCCAAGGACTTGTGGATGCCTATCGCCAGGCTCTACCACGAGTTCGTCTCTATGGGCCAACAAACTTTTCTCCAATCATAAACCACGTTGCTAGGTTTGCCACTGACTCTGCTCAGCAAAATACTGCTTCTGTGAGTCTGTTCACTTTAATCCCTTTTTTTATGCTTTTACTTTTATATAATGGAGGCTTTTATATAATGGAGATTGAGGGAAAAGATTTTGTGACAAAGCTACAAGACCCAGAATACTAATATTTGTTTTCTACTTTAAGGCTGCAATCTCATAAACACTAAATAATCCACTTTCAATCCACTTTCAGTCCACTTTCAAATTGAATTTTGCCAGTTCACACAGTAAAAATCCAGTTGGAAAGTGCATTGAAAGTGGATTATTTAGTGTGTGTGACCACAACCTAAATCCGTCTATGAGCAAATAGAAAAACAAAAAACAGGGTCCTCTTTCTTGTCCTGCAGTCCTTGCAGTGACTCTCCCAGCACTAGAGCTTTGTTTACAGTTATTTTTAACTGTATTTGGAAGTTAAACTTTCACTGACTGATCTAATTCCTTGCAGCAATACTACGTCTTGCTGATAATCACAGATGGGGAGATCACCGATCTGGACCAAACCCGGCAAGCCATTGTGAATGCCTCCAAACTGCCCATGTCTATTATTATTATTGGAGTTGGCAGTGCTGAGTTTAAGGCCATGGAATTCCTGGATGGAGATGATGGTGTCCTAAAGTCCTTGGCAGGAGAGCCGGCTGCAAGAGATATTGTTCAGTTTGTGCCTTTCAGAAAATTCCAGAATGTAAGTTGTGAGTGTTGAATTAGAGCAAACTCTGGATGAAAAGCTTGCTATGGCTAAGCATGCTTAGTGTCAGTGAAGGTGTAGCATTGTACCATGGATGACACAATAAGAGGGAGGGGAGAAAGTTTGCAGCTCATCCCCCCCCCCACACACACACACAGTGGATCTCTTAACCAATTGGGAATGGTAATTCTACTTCAGGCTCTAGTATTTTGCAGCCTGCTGAAAGTCTTATTATGTAAAATTCCTTACTTAATAGGAAATGCACCTGGCCAATTTTAAGAGATTTATCCTGGCTGCCGATTTGTTTCTGGGCAGAATATAAAGTTTTGGTTATTACCTGCAAAGCCCTCACCAGCTTGTGAAGAAGATGTTTGAAAGACCATCCCTTCCCATTTTAGACTTCCTAACCGCTGAGATCTGGATTTGAGGCTTGTTCTGTGTGTGGAAGCAAATTGGGTGAGAATCAGAGCCTGTAGATTGGGATAGTCCCTCTCCACCGCAGTTCACCTGGCACCAAGCCTGTTGAATTTTGGGCATGAGATAAAAATACTTGTTTTCTCAGCATTTTAGTGATTCTGGTAATTTTCTTTTCTTTTTTTGTGTGCAATTGTGGTAAGCTTGAAAACGAATGCTTCTAGTTGTATTTTATATTGCTTCAGGGCTTTTTCTCTGGGGAAACACACCAGATCAGAGTTCTGGAACCTCTTCATCAAAATTCTTATTAAAATGTTTTAAAAGTTTTCAGTATACAGATTGAAAACTTCATTTCCCTTTTGAGAGTTCCAGCACCTCTTTTTTATATTTGGTTTTATGATTTTACATTTTATATTTTGATTGTTTGAGATTTTATATTTTGATTGTTTGAGATCCGATTGGGATTTGTCTCAGGAGCAGTGCTTCAAAGCGCAGGACATAGATGTTTTAAATAGCACTGTGAAAAGTTGATTAAAATAACTTCCAAGCCCAGCTTTGGAAAACGTTGTTTCCTCCCAGTCTCATCTTACCATATTGCTGTATTGTACCATACGCTCCAGTTTCAAATCAAAGAACTCTTAGGAAAGTGTCCAAATTGTTTCTGAAACATTTTGTGCATATTAGTGTCACCAGCTACTCTGTCTATTGCTCAGTAAGGAATATAAATGAGGTCCTTTCACGACATCAAATCCAGCTGTTTTTCCATTAAAGCAACTCCCCATACCTCTCTCTCTCTCTCTTTTTTGGACCCTGTAATGCCTATGAGAGACCTGAATATTATACTTTCCAACAGAGGGAATCATTGGGTAGGACCACAGTATTTGGATAGCTTATCTCTCACTTTGCATCACCAAAACTTACTGCCTGGAACTTCTTTAAATTAGCAACTTCTGTTTTCTTTACAATTATTATTGCATCCCTTTTTAAATTAAAAAGAAGAATGTTTCACAGTGCGTCTAATCTTTGGGGTAGGGCTTACTTGCCTTCCGTTTTTCCTTGTATTGTAGGATGTAGGATACAGGAGCTTCTGAATGTGTTTTAGAACACTGATTTCTTTCTTTCCCCTCTGCAGGCTCCTCGCGAGGCTCTTTCTCAGACAGTCTTGGCAGAAGTTCCCAAGCAGCTGGTGTCCTACTTCAAGATGGTTGGCCTGATCCCTGTGAAATTACCTTCAGAAAAACCAACATAAAACAAAGGCTTTTATTTTCATTTACAAAGGAAAGGAAGAGTCTTGTATCTGCCACTCTCTGATCAACATATTACTAGTCCTATTCCTTTGGGAATGTATTGTATCTCAAGTTATCTACATATGTATTAGGAAAAGGTATATTTCCAGGCAATATATTATTAGTGTTCTTGGCTATTTGGAGAATAATGATAATCTTGGATCACTTACTCTGGCCAGAAATGTCTGAACTCTGTACACTTGCACATGCTGTGCAACCAAGGCCATGTTAACCATTAGGCTGATAAGGGTTTTTTTGGGGGGGGGCATTTCCCAGCTCAGCCACAAAGTTCATTCAGTGACCTTGAGGCAATCACTGTCTCTCAGCCTGACCTACCTAGAAGACCACACAGAAAAGGGAAGAACTTTGTCTGTGCCCTGAGCATGAGATAAAAATGTGGAATCCATAGGTAGACTGAAGGTCAATAGTGGTATTAAAGCTGAAGGATGCCATCATGTGGTTTATACAGCTCCCTCAGGGTTGCCAACTCTGACCTGGGTAATTCCTGGAGATTTGGGGGGTGAAGCCTGGGGAGCGAGCTCAGTGGGGCACATAATGCCCTAGAAAGCCCACCCTCCAAAAGAGCCACTTTCTCTGGGGGAACTGATCTCTGTCGTCTGGAGACCATTTGTAATTCCAGGAGATCTCCAGGCCCCACCTGGAGTCTGTCAGCTCTACGTTCTCTTGCTGCCAATATTTAAGGCAGTTTGGTGTCGTGGTTGAGTGCGCGGACTCTAATCTGGGAGAACCGGGTTTGATTCCCCACTCCTCCACTTGCACCTGGCTGGATGACCTTAGGCAAGCCATAGTTCTGATAAGAGCTGTTCTTGAAAAAGAGCCGTTTCTGTCAAGAGCTCTCTCAGCCCCACCCACCTCACAGGGTGTCTGTTGTGGGGAGGGGAAGGGAAAGGAGACTGTAAGCCGCTCTGAGACTCCCTTGGGTAGTGAAGGGTGGGGTATAAATCCAATCTCTTCTCTCTTCATCTTCATGGCAGGGAAAAGCCACCTTGTTGGGACAAGTTTTGGGGCTTCTTTAAAAGGCCATCTCCAGGTCCAAGACGCCTTCCAGTGGCCCTCACACCAAACACAGTGCTTCCTTTATGTTCGCATGCGCCCATGCACCTTCCTAGAGGAAGAGCG